CAGTCTGGGCGACAGAGTGAGACTCCAACTCAAAAAACAAAAACAAAAACAAAACAAAACTATCATGTAAGATTCAGTTAAAAGCAGCAAAAACCCAAATTTCAAAACATTTGTTCTTAAGAACTGGGTTTTTCAACCCTTCAAGTTTACAGAGACAAAGTACAGATGCACACAGCTGAGCATTCCTGTAAATATTTAGGTGTGCTTGGTAAGAACTGGTTACCAATTACTAAAAAGGCTGTGTGGTGTAATGGAAAGCAGACAGGTTACAGAGGCAGAAGCCGGCCCCAGCCCAGAGGCGTGAGTTCATTATCTCATCTAAGCCTCAGCTTTGCCAACAGTAAGATGGAACAAAATGTCCACCTCACTGCAGTATGGTAAGGATCAAACGAACCAATCTATGCAAAAACATCTTAAACTCTAAGATATGATTTCTGAAAGACAAGTTTCGGTTTCATTCAAAAGAGCTCATGACACCATCAACAGACTTCCAATTTAGATAATAATAAAAGGCGTAGAGAATTTCTCAAATTGAGGGGTTTACTGGGGTCTTTGCCCCTTTAGTTTCAGATCACAGGTGGAGCTACCAGGACAGCCAGGGTAGATGGGTTTACCCCCAGTTTTAAGGTGAATGAACACACCTGGTCTCCTTTCTCAGAGTGGTTGAGGGGCCAGGTGAGAAAGGATTTGGAGTTCTTGGAGCAAAGTATGAGGTAAAAATCCAGGAGATGACAGTTATCTTACAAAACAGGAGTGTTTTAAGGTCCTGTTGCCAGGGGGGTTGTCACCTCCTAAGGCAGAAAAAATAGCTATGTTTCCTTGAAGAAAATTGACTTTAAGCCTCTCTCCAAAGTATTCAGTCTGAAAGTGGAATAGTGCTACCAGGGCTCATGAAGGGGTAGTTTAAGATTAACCCAAGACAGCCCCCAACTGCATGACATCTGGTCAGTGATGGCCCAGCTGGTTGGGGTGGGTCCTTCCACTCCAACCCAGACTTTTCGTAATGCTGACCCTTGGAATCCAGTTCACAGGGAACACCTCCAAAAAGGAACAGATGGTAAAAGAACAGATCTGTCTCTTCTCGCTCCCTCCATGGCCACTAACACACAGGATGGCCTGGTTCTTGGTATGGATGCTGGGGAGGGGAAGAGAGCTGCCGCCAAGGTACGAGCCTTAGAGGCAGGGGTGGGCCTTACTTTTGCTGGTGACTGACCAACATCCACATCAAGGCAGCCAAAATCTCCCATCTCCATCCCCATCCCCACTGCCAGGCCTTTTCCCAAGATCTCCAGCTCTTACGGGCATCACAGCAAGAGATGCCTGGCACAGCACCTGGCCACTAGGCCAGAGGGCTGAAAGCTTTTTGGTCAGACTTGTCATTAGTAAAAGCTTTTTGAGCATGCAGCCCATATATTTTTAACTTTAAAGGTGAGATGGTATGCACTATTATTGTTCTTATGTCATATACATTTTAAACATTCAAAAAAAGAAATGTTACAAGATGAGGTAAGAATAGAAAAAAAGCTAGTCTTTTCCTCCTGCATCCCACTGGATCATCATGCATACATTTGAGAGTTCACTCTGTCTAAGCTCTCTTCCCTGAAAATAATTAATCTGCCATGCTGCTGCCAGTCTCACAGAGCATTGCCAGAGATGCAGGATGTCAGAAACAGCTGGACAAGCTCCTCACCCCTCTGTAAGACAGCGATCTCTGCCCCACACATGCATTCTGTGAAGATAGGCCGGCAGGTGTGCTGCCTCCAGAAGAACACTCAGATTCCCTGGCATGGCGTTTGAGACCCTGCTCAAAGGGCCTTTCTCCTTTGCAAAGCTTCTCCCCACCCTAGACTCAAGTGTGAAAAAGGCGCCAGCAGTTCCAAGCAGACCCAGAAGCACCTACCTCTTGCCGGAACTCCACTGCTTCCCGCCCATCCTCCTCCTTAGTCTTCACCAATGACATCTTGACCCAGGTGCGGAAGCCCCCAGAAAACTTCCAGCTGGAATAGGCACTCTCACAGGCCTGCATGAAGCCTACCCTATTTGGGCTTGGAGGACAAAGAGAAGAAAGATCCAGGTCTGACAGCAGGATTCAAACGTGGCCAGACTCAAACTCAGCCCCCACTTCAAGTTGGTTTCTTTGCTGGCACAATGAAGATGCTGCCAGCTCCCTGCTTCCTCTCCAAATTTTGGTTGCTTCAACAGGCTGTTAGTCATTAGCAAAAGGCCGATCCCTGTTTTCTTTCCATTGGGTTTCCAAAGAGAGAGGGCGTTGTCACTGGCTTCAAGGCAGAAGCATGATTCCTGAAGTTCCCCAGGGGGGAATTCCTCCTCTCTCCCACCTCGTCACTCCTCCCACCTGCTCCCAAAGCCACTGGCACTAAAGTTTGTAGAAGCTCCCCACAACATGGCACTCCTGGCTTCTCAGAACTCTGGACTTGACCAGAAACTGAGACTGGCCTGTCACATCCCTCTGGAAAGTCCAGAGAGGAGAGGAGGGTTCCTTGGGGAGCTCTTAGCCAGATGGGACACCTACAATATCTGCCCCGGGATGGTGCAGATGCAGCAAAAGCAAAGCACACACAAGCAAGGAGAAACTACGGAGTGCCATACTAAGGAAGCTCAGGAAAGGAGCACAGAGTGGGGTGGGATCCTCTGGAAGGTCTCCATGAAGAAGGCAAGGTGCACCAGCTTTAAGCAGGGAAGGGAGAGGGAATTCTAGGGGGCAAAAAGCAAGGAAAATGCTAAGGCAGAAGCTGAGCTCCAGAGTGGGAAGAATGGAGCAGTGGTGGCATGGAATGGCAGAGGCAAGCTGCTTCCTGTTCAGCTGGGAGCATCCTCTCCCACCACAGCTGTCTCCATGCTTACCGTGAATGGAGCCTCTGGGCTGACAGACCCTGGCAGAGAGTGACTCACCCTCAGCTCATGTTCATGCAGAAAATGCTTCTGCCCTTAATGAGCACTCTGGGCCCAGAGATGGCACCACGGTGTGAACCAAAGCAGCATGTATGGAGCAGACAGGAACTTTCTGATGGTCAGGGGACATTCATCACTATAAGCAAAGACCACAAGCAGCTGGCAGGACTTACATCCTCATACCAGAGATACAGCTGGCCCTTGAACAACACGAGTTAGAAATGCATGGGTCTACACAGTCTCTGCTACCCGAGACAGCAAGACCACCCCTCCTCTTCCTCCTACTCTTCAGCCTACTCAGTGTGAAGACAACAAGTATGAAGATCTTTATGCTGATCCACTTCTACTTAATAAATAGTAAATATATGTTCTCTTCATTATGATTAAAAAAAAAAAATTTTTTTTTAGAGACAAGGTCTTACTCTGTTGCCCAGGCTGGAGTACAGCAGGGCAACCATAGGTCACTGCAACCCTGAAACTCCTGAGCTCGAGAGCCTCCTGCTTAAACTCCTGAGTAGCTACGACTATAGGCACATGCCACCACACCCAGCTAATTTATTTTTTTTTTAATAGAGATGGGGTCTTGCTAGGTTGCCCAGACTAGTCTCCAACTCCTGACCTTAGGCAATCCTCCCTCCTCCACCTTTCAAAGCACTGGGATTATAGGCATGAACCACTGCACTGGGCCATGATTTTCTTATTAAAATTTTCTTTTCTCTAGTTTACTTTATTATTTAAAAAAACAGTATATAATACATGTAAAATATAAAACATGTTAATCAATTATTTATTGATAAGGTGTCCATCAACAGTAGACTATTAGTAATTAAGGTCTTGGAGAGTCGAGTCATATGCAAATTTTCAACTGTACAAGAGGCTGGCACCCCCAACCCAAATTGTTCAAGGGTCAACTGCATTTATGGCAAACATACACCGAGCCCTCAACAAGGGAAAGACACAGCTCCTAGACACACTGCAGGGAAAAGCAAGGCACCAGGCAGGGACTTGCCCTCAAGGGGGCTCACAAATCAAAGGTAGCTTCCTCAAAATGGACCAGATAAAATATTATTTCCAGAACCAGTCAGCACTATGTGTATGGAAAGCCAGCATGCTCCTGCCTATCACACTGGCTTAATTTTGTGATATGGGGTTAAATGGCTCAGCTAAGTTCATAAGGTCCTTTCCTGGGCCAGTGGAACATCTGGGAACAACTATTCCCTGCCCCCGCCTTCACTCCCACATCCCTAGCCCAGGATGTACAAGGTGGGGATACGACAGAAGGTAGATAGTAAGCCCACTGTCAGCTCTTCTTCAGTCTAACACTCTCCCAACTGAGCCATTTCGGCCTCCTTCCACTGTCAACTCTAAAAGGTCACCTTTGCAGGAACTCCTGAAAAGAAGAGAAGAGGAGGTAGTCGATAGCGCTGAAGTCCTCACTACTCTTGTTCAGGCGGAACTGGAGGAAGACCAGCTCCCGCTTCTTCACTTCCCGGGGCCCCTGGACAATCAGGGCAGATTTCTGCAGGGAGACAAAGGAGAGAGTCTCAGTTCTGGAAGAGCTGCGTGGTCTCTCTCTACCCACGCCTCTCAGTCTGAGGGCAGAAGCACTGACTGGAAAGCCCATGGCTCCTCACCCAGCAGCCTTTCAAGTGACCACCGGCCAGACCCTCCTGTTCAGGGAATACAGGTGTGGGCCTGGACTCATGCTCAGCCCGGGGAGTGTTCTCGGCACAATGCAGAGACCAGAAGCTATGGAAGCTCTTTATTCAGCAAGAATGTGACCCTCATATGTTATATGTACAAATCTTGTCTTCTAGTCTGTCACTTTTAACTTTGTTTCCAATGTAATTTGTTATATGGCAGCTTTATGTTTAATATAGTAAAACCTGGAAATCCTTTTCTTTATGGCTCTGGGTTTTGCTTGCTAAGGAAAGTTAAATTTATACATCAATATTCTCCTATATTTATTGATAGCACTTTTTAAAACTCTCTTTTATATTTAGATACTTTATATACCTGACTTTAGGTTCTGTATGTGATATGAAATAAAAATCTAACTCCTAAACCCCTAAACAATGGGTAGAATCAGGTTCTAAAGCCCGTTCTCCTCCATCCTTTATCCTATATAAATTCTAGTATAGAACCGATATATATGTCTGCTCCTGATCCTAATACAGTTCACAAACATATTTGTCTTTCTCTGTGCCAATAGTTTTATACTGTTCTGATATATGCCTGGGCAGGTCCCTTCTCTATTAATTCTCTTCATCCCCAAGCCTGCCTTGATTATTTTTTTACATGTGTTCTTCTAAATGTACCTTAAGACTAGTTTTTTCAGTTCCACAAAAAATCCACTGGGACTTTTAACTGTGATGAAATTGAATTTATGGATTCATTTGAGAAACAATATATTTACATCAACTTTTATAAATACTCTACAGATATTTGAAAACAGTGAGTCTATTATCAGGTACAAAGCTTTATACCCATATACATGTGTACACACATTAAGTTTATTAATTGCACTATTCAATTATTATCCTTACCTTTTTTTGTCCATTTGATCTATGAATTTCTGAGAGCGGTGTTAAAGTCACACTCTAAGGTATTAGATGGTATTTTTTATTTCCAGTAGATTTTGCTTACAATATATAAATGGCATGCTGTTTAGTACACAAAGATTTAGCTAAACCTTCTTCGTGAAGAGTAGTGGAGTTGCACCTCTTATCAATATTAAGTATCCTGCTTTTTAAAAAAATTTTTATTGTAAAGATGTGGGGTACAATTCAGGATTAGGTATACAAACATTGATCATGCAGGTACCCCTGTTAATGAGGTATGCCCCTCCCTCCCTTAGCAGTTTCCCTCAACTGCCAAGCATCCTGCTTTTAACCCTTTGCCCGTGGAATTCCAGTTGACTAATACCACCTTCTCCACTTCTTCTGGTTATTGTTGCATTTTCCCTGAAGAGAGCTTTGTCCATCTCTTTATTTGTAACCTCTCCATGTTAAGTGGGCAGCATAGAACACTAACTGTCCCCAGTTTTCATTATCCTTTTCTTCCTTTAGTACTAGAACCATTTTCCCAATTCCACATTGCAGCCTACAGTCGCCCTGCTGGAGCCTCATCTCTGGCCTCAGGTATGGTCACTTGATGAAGTTCCTGGAATGTATGAAAAAGTGACTTATGTAACTCTGTGTCATTTCCTTAAAAGCGACCTGCCTGTCCTCCACTTCTCACCTTCCCAGGAGTAGACGTGCACACACGCTGACCATATGGACCAGAACAACATCTAGGGGATAGCACAGTGACTTGCTGGACAATTCCATGAGGCAGCACTGCCAGCAAGTCGCACTACCACCTGCATGCCAGACTGTTCTTAGAGAGAAAAGTAGACTTTTCCCTCGTCTCACTATATTGAAGGGCTCAGTTTTTATATAGTAGCTTAGCCTATATATACTCTATCCAATACATACTTTGTTAGCTGACCCAGAAGTGTATGGTAACAACAAAAAACGAAAAACAAGGCATCAGCTATACACTTGGGCAGTGGGAAAATGAGGGGTGGTAAGGAAACAGATAGGAATCCTGTAGGCTAGAAAGGTGGTGACCCTTGTTATGTCAGAGCAAACATTCTGGTAAAAGTTAGCTACTGTTAAATTGAGAGCACAAGAGACAGTGCCACAAAATCAATGAAAATCTGAAGATTTACAAACGTGACAGGCTGAGACCCTTAACTGGGGTCACTTCCACATGGACATGACTGCATGCAAACAGCCAGAAACCTATTCATTTCTGAAGAAATCTCATGCAACAAACAGGTGAGAGGAGGAAATGGGTAATATCGAGCCCACCTCCAAGTCTGTGACTGTTCATCTCTAAAGCTGCTCCCAAAACTACACATGCACAAAGTGAATGGCAAAAGCTGTACAGTCCCCAGGGAGGGCATTAATGTCCACTTCAGATACGGCCAGAGGAATGCCAGGGCAGAATCTCCTGGACCAGGCCAGAGCACACAGGAATCTCTCTGAGAGTAGCAACCAGGTCAAGCCAAGGAGCAGACTTTGCACCAAGCAAGGGTCTCACAGGCCCCACCCTGCAGGGCTCCCCTGCTGCTGCAGAGCAGAGTTGTGGGCCCTTCCTCCTTCCTTTTCTAAGTGGGACTCTGTCACTGACTTCATTCTTCCTCCACTGCCATACGCTGGTTTGGGGTAGGAGATCCTGTGGACAGGGAGGAGATAACTTCTCTACGAGTTTACAGCTTGTGAACTTCAAGACACTGATAGAGAAAGCAAACCATCACTCAGAGCTGGAGGCAGTAACTACCTTCAACTTCATTTTCATGAAAACAACTCGCTTTTGTGCCCTTGTTTCAAGGGTTTTTATAATATTTAGTTGACTTATGTAATTACTATAACAAGTACAAGTGATGTGAATAGGTTTGGGAATGATACCCGCTGACTCCCAGTAAGGACTTGTCAACTAGGAAAGAAAAGGGGTCAGAAAAGGGGTCATCCAGAGAACAGGCACGCACTGTGGGACTTGAGCATGCCTGGGGCACTTATCAATATGCTTTACAGAGAGAATGAAGAGAGCTGGGAATCTACACAATTTCTACTGTGTATAGAACTCTACGTTAGAATTTTTAAAAGTTGTTTTCCTTTTTGTTTCAATTAGCTTCTGTTTCCCTATTCTATTTGTTCATCTTGGTCCTTGTATGTTGTTGGTGTCATATAAATGTCTAATGACCATGAATTATTTGTTCTTATTTATGAATGAAGGATTAGGTTGGCTAGTATAGGTCTGGGATGTGGGTTTCATCCAAAGTGGTGTATTTCTGTTTCTCCCTTGCATGGGAAGGCTGACTTACGTGCTCTGTGGAGTGGGCAGGAAATGCCAGCCCGCTGGGCATTCCAGTGTACTTCACACTGGAGAGAGATTTCTTCCCTTTATCTCTCTTTGTCTGTTGTGAAGATGTGATCTGTTTCCAATGCCCAAGCAGAGAACCTTCCCTTAGCTTCTGTAGAGAATGGCTCAGGGTCTCTTACCCAGAAGCAATGCCACCCCCAGTGGCTCTGCATCCCTGGAGAAGGCAAAGGGTGTGGCTGCCCAGCCAACAGGCAGCCCCATAATAACTACCCTGGCTCTGAATGTGCTGACTCTGAGCTATCAGTTGGAAAGAAAGCCTGTGCCTCTGCAGCGTCCACTCCAGCATCTGTTTCAGTTTAGTGGTTTTCTCCAATTTGTTTGCTCCATCAATCTAACCCAATTTGCTATTTATATCAGTACCTCACAATTTCTGGTCCACTGGTAACATCCTTTCTGAGTTTGCAAAGCTGTTACTGATCATTTATTTTCTTTTATTCTATTCTTTGCAGGAGTGGGAATCATTTCAGCAGGATTTTAGGAGGAAGCCTAGAGTACACAAACTAACAAAAAAAAATCTGAAGTATGATTCTTTCATCTTAAAACCCAGTAATAGTTCCCTATCATCCAAAGAAGCGAGTCTGACTTGACAGCACAATTCACATGCTTTTCTCACCTGGCTACTATTTTGTCCACAGTTTCAACTCCCATAGCTCTTTGGGGGCACCTGACCCTTCGAAACATCTCCCCTCCAACTGTAATTTTGTCGAGTCACAAGCACAACATGCACAGGCACAACGTCTCTACCCTTTAGGTCTTTTTCTTTTCTTTTTTTTTTTTTTTTTGAGGCAAGGTCTCACTGTCACCCAAGCTGGAGTATAGTGGCACTATTATGGCTTACCACAGCCTCGACCTCTTAGGCTCAGGTGAGCCTCCTGCCTCAGCCTCCTAGGTAGCTGGGACTACAGGCACACACCACCACATCTGGCTAATTTTTAAAGACCTCACTACGTTGTCTAGGCTGGTCTTGAACTCCTGGGTTCAAGTGATTCTCCTGCCTTGGCCTCCCAAAGTTCTGGGCTTACAGGTGTGACCCATCACGCCCAGTTCCCATTTGGGACTTAGTGCAGTTTCCTCTGCCTAGAAAACTTTTACTTCCCTCTTTGATCTGGAAAACTTTATTGCAGCCTCTTTCAATCGTTTTTGAAGCAAGGACATGAGATAAGACAGATAAGATATAAATAATACAAAATTCCTACCCTGCAAACCTTGTGCAGGTACCGTTTCTCCAAGATACCCAGAGTCCCTTCCCTCTGCTATTGTTTCCAGCTGTGCTGTGCGTGGCAGCATTGCCAGGCCAGGACCAGGAGTCCTTATCCTCAGACCAATGCTCCCTCTTTACATTGGCATATTTATTTCAAAATATGGAATCCCAGACTGTCCTCAGGAATTGTAATTCATTTGGCTTCTCTTGGAACCTGGGAATCTGTATTTTCAAAAAGTGTCCCGGAGGTTCTGTCCAGTGGTCAGGTATGGGACCCGCTTCACTACATCACAGCAGCCCTTCCCTTTAGCCTTGCTGTTCTTCCATTAAGGACAGGGTGTCATCACACTGTCAGGATCCTTGAGGGCCACTCAGCAAACACGGAAGGCCTCATGGTCCTCCCCAAATGCAGGCAAGCCAGCCACAACCAAGCGTCCACCTGGCACAGCCACATATCTGCCTGGGGATCAAGGCCTCACGCAAAGTGAATGGGAGAAGGCCTCCTGAGAAAAAGGAAGCTTGGGCCCTTAGGTGTGGGGCTACCCAAGCATGCTGCCCAGACCCAGCTCGAGGAGACGGAAGTTACCACAGTCTGATTGGAGAAAGGGTCCGTGTAGTTGATTCTCTGGGTGGTGCAATTCATGTCACCTGGCTGGCCAGGGCTTGTCAGAGGGGGAATGACCTCGTAATGATGCTTACAGCTGAGCAGCTGGGCCTGTCCAGGATACAGGGCAATGCCTAGGGGCACAAACAGGGAAAAGCGAATGTCAGAAGTCACTGCCATGACCACACCCCTGAAATCATCTCACACCCATCAACAATCTGTTCTGAACTTCCTGGGAGATTGCAGAGAAGGGAGAAGAAAAGGGTTATAGTGGGTGGGGCACCACATCCCCTGTCTTCAGAAAGCCCTTTCTAGCAGAGAGCACGAGCTCTTGCCCGCCTGCGATACAGTTGCCCTGGTGCCACACCAAAACCTAGTCCACACACTCCCCTCACTGAGCCCAGCTATGCCCATCACCTACCTACAGATTCGCTGGGAAGCTCCAAAGTGTGAGAGTCCCCAGAACTCATTTTGTCTTTCATCTCTGCACTGACTGGGAGCCCCAAGTGAGCAAGTCATATCCCAACAGTCCCTCCCCCTCCCCCAGGCCAGGCACCTCTTCCAAGGCTCTCCTGACAGTCGCTGTTCCAACCTCAAGGGTAGAAATGCTGACAGAACAGCACATGGCATCCAAGACAGAGTTCTGAGAGACCAAGTGACCAGACACAGAAAGTAAAATCCATAGATAAGGAGACTGAAGCAAACACACAGAGAGGGACAAACACAAGACAGGCAAAGACAGGCAGAGGAGCCAAGACCAGCACTTGGACTGTGCTGGAGGCTGTCAGGAAGCCCCAGGCAGAGGGCACCTGGGCTCTGGCCCTGTGAGCAGGCCCTCTTGATGGTCCCTTAGGAGCATCCTGTGAGCACAGCAGGTGGTACACACTGGGTGGGCAGAGCCTGGGCCCACAGAGCTTGTGCCTCCCCATTCACTCTATAGCCTCCGCCTGGTGGCAGCCCCACCACCCAGAGCAGATGCCCCCTTGGGAACCAGACACCCCATTGACAAGATAAGAAAGGTATACAGCCGGGCTTGGTGGCTCAGCCTGTAATCCTGCGCCTTTGGGAGGCTGAGGTGAGTGGATTGCCTGAGCCCGCGGGTTCGAGACCCGCCTGGCAGTGAGACCTCATCTCTACATAAATAAAA